TCAATTAAGGCTGTCATGGTTTAGGAATGGTATTCCCCAATTTAGTACTGCCACTAAAAAGACCACAAACTGCTCCCCTTCCTCCTTGAATGAGAGGCATAACAGGCAAAGATCACAAGTTGAGATAAGAATAATTTGCTGGAAACAGCAGTGAGATAAGAAAATAAACAGTAACAGCAACAATATTAATAACAAAAGTATGCAAAAAATAGGGTGATTCACATGTGGAAATTCTCATCATGGACCCCAGGCAACAATGAACAATGGCGTATGGCTTGCCTACCTCGCCATGCTTTGTTCCACCAGAAAACTATGTCCTTCTTCTCAGCAGCCAGAAAGTCCCTTACCCCTGCCCCCAGCAGTTGTTGTGAGGTGGTATAGAATAACTTCCCAGCCACGCCCACAGGGCTCCAGGCTTTGCCTCCTTGTGCCTACTGCATGCATTCTGTCCTGGACAGAATTTGGACAGCTAGCTAATAAGCATTTTGTAAGGCTTTGTATATGGGCTGGTTTGGACAGGCAGGACTTAAATAGGTGAACATGCTGCAAAACAAAAGCCAAGGGCTTTCAACCTGGTGCAACGCACTGTCTTTTGAAGGTGGTTGGGTAGGAATGAGAATTTTAAACAACATATACACAGGAGTTCTTTCACTGGTATAAGCCATGTAAGTCATTCTTCCAAGTTTGAGCCCTGAGACTCTATGAAGTAAGTCTAACCCTAAAAACTAACCACCCTGACTTTCCACAACTGTAGCCACTAATGAAATTCAATTGCGAAAATGTAATTTTTAATAAAATGGTTATCACTTAGAGCAAAGATCAAGACCTTGAACTCAGCATGCATGAGGACGTAGTACAAAAACAATACTTACTATTCCAAATGAAACCTCTTGATGTAAAGGATCATGGGTTAAGAGTTGGATAGAACCTGAGGAAGTCAATGTTGGTGGATGAGTTGATGGAGAGTAGGTAAAGCTTCCTATAGGAAGATGTTCTCCAAGCAGCTCTACTTCATTCTCTATCCTTTGAAGTGGCTAAAAGAAACACAGGGTTTGTTGTATTAATAGAAAACCAATTTTTAAAATTTATTTTTTAATACCAGAAAACCACAACTCCAATTATATGTTCTGAGTAGTTGTGAAAATTTTATGTAGTTGTACTGGGTATATGTGGCAAGGTTTTGGTAGCGGAGGCAGGGGACTGCAGGAGTAGCCTCTGTGGGAAGAGATAAGGGGCTTCCTTGTGCCAGACATAACTGGTTCCAGTTGGCTCAGCAATGGACCAACCCACTGCAGGCCAAAGCTGAGCCAATCAGCAGTGTTTGTAGTGCCTCTGTGAAAAGCTATTTAAGAAAGGGGCGGGGGGGAAGCTGTATGGGGAGTAGGAGGGAACAAAAAAAGTGTGAATAGGAGAAGGATGAAGTGCTTCATGGCACCAGAGCAGATATTCCCTGCAGCCCATGGAGGACCCACTCTGGAACAGATTGATATTTCCCAAAGGAACTGTGGCCCATTGAGAACTCATGCCAAAGCAGATTTTCCTGATAGAAGAACCTACACTAGAGCAAATTTTCATGATAGATTGCAACCCATGAAAAACCCATATCAGAGCAGAGGAAAGGTGTGAAAAGGAAGGTGCAGCAGAGAATGACTATTATATACTGACCACAATCCCCCACACCTCCTCCCTCTTGTGCCACTAGGGCAAGGAGAGGAATCTAGAGAAGAACTACTAGCAGTGGATGAGGATTGAGTCAGAGATTTATTACTTGAGAGAACTTGATCCATACAAGTCCACGGGACCAGATGGACTACATCCAAGAGTTGATGTCCTTGCAAGGTTGCTATAATCTTTAAAAGGTTATGGAGATAGGGGAGATCTGTAACAACTGGAGAAAGGCAAACATTGCATTCATCAACAAAAAAGGAGAAAAGGACAATCTGGGAAACTACAGACCAGTCAACCTTACTTCAGCCCCTGGGAAAATCATGAAGTCAGTCCTCTTGGAACATATTTCTGGGCATACGGAAGAGGGAAGAGTCAGCATGGCTATACCAAGGGAAAATCAACCAGATTGTCTAGTATGATAAGGTGATGATTTGTGGATGAGGGGAGAGCAGTGGATGTCATTCACCTCAACTTTAGCAAGGCTTTTGACACTCCCAAAATATTCTTGTTATCCAAGTTTGGATGTTACAGTCTGGATGGGTGGACAACCAGATGGAAAAAAAATGTTTGGATGACCAGGCTTAGATCATGGTGGTTAATGGGTCATACTTTACCAAGATGCTGGTAACAAGTGGTATACCACAGGGACCTATCCTCTTTAACAACATTATCACTCACCTGGAAGATACTGAGTACTTGCTCATGAAGTCTACAGCTGATATCAAATTGCAGGGAACAATCCATACACTGGAAGGTAAGGCTGCCATAAAGCGGGACATGAACAGGCTGGAGAAATGGGCCAATAGGAACCTTATGATATTCAACAAGGACACATGCCAAGTCCTACACCTGAGAAGGAAGAACCCCTGGCAACAATCCAGGTTGGGGAATGACTGGCTATGAAGCAGCTCTGCTGAAAAGGCCCTGAGGCCCTTGGTAGACAGCAAGCTGAACATGAGGCAACAGTGTGCCCTGGCAGCACAGAAGGCTAGCAGTATCATAGGCTGTATTAACAAACAGTAGCACAGTCAGTGGATGGAGCGAACCTACACCTTCTACTCAACACTTGTTAGACCTCATGTGGAATACTACATCCAGTTTTGGGCACCCAAATAGGAAAAAAAAAAAAGACATTGTTAAAGTAGAACAAGCTCAAATGAGGGCCACCAAGGTGGTAAGGGGACTGGAACATTTGTCTTATTAGAAGAATTGAAAGAACTGGGCTTTTTCTGCCAGGAGAAGAAAAGGCTTGAGGGAGCAGGAAAGAAAATCTAACAGTGGCCTTCTAATACCTGCAGAGATTTGATCAATAAGATGGAGCCAGGCTCTTTACAGTGGTGCATGGTGGAAGGACAAGAGACAATGGGCATAAGTAAAAACAAAAGAGGTTCCAGCTAAATACAAATAGAAGCTTTTTTACCATGAGGACAGTCAAGCAGTGGAACAGGAGCCTAGAGAATTTGTGTAGTCTCCACCCTTGGAGGTTTTCAAGATCCAACTAGAAAAAGACCTGAGCACCCTCACCTGACCTCATAGCTGATCCTGTTTTAAACAGAAGTTTGAACTAGAGACCTCCTGAGGTGTCTTTACATCCGAATTATCCTGTGACCCTATGATCCCTTTCATCAGATTGCATATATAAGGTAGCAACTGACTTCCTTAATAGAAACATGTTCTCAAACTGAAGAAAATAGTTCTACTTCAATACCATAAGAAATTATTGAAGGCACATTGATGTATGAAAAATTAAGAAGTTTCTTACGGAAAGAACTCAGCATTTCCTTGTGAGACAAAAATCTTCATTGTAAACACCTTGATTTATACTTATAAATAATCAATTGCCCTATTTAGGCTAGATACATTATCTTGAAGCTATACTTATGCTATTAGGAAAGATCAATTCAAATCTCAGCTCGTTTTGGTCTCATTTTTCAGGAAAACCTTAACTCTACTATTTCACTAAATCACCCTTCTTTTCCCAGTACTGAATTCCACATTCTTCAAAACAGTCAGATATGAAAGTCATCTTGTGGAAGCAAAGGAAAAGGAAAATTGTTTCCCCATTCTGCTGAATAAACTTTAAATTGTCAGAATATTTAAGGAAATAATTCTTCTAGTAAGACTTGACAGCAAAAAAACAAGCTATCGAAAAGAGCTAAAAGTTAACAAAGGAGCCTATTCTTGAAGCTAAATTAGCAATCTAAGTTAAGAAAGAAGGCCTGACATTTTCTGAGGGAAAACATCCTTATTACCAGAGAAAACTAGGTAGAACTGTTCCCCCATGACTACAATGAAATTATTACAGTAGTACCAACACCTGACATTTAACACAGCAGTATTTATTACTGCTCAAAACAATCTGAGCAGTATTTGTCAGTAATACTGAAATGATTTTGTATTTCTCTATTAATGAAATATTGGTAGAGCTCCAAAGAAACAAATGTGCCTGGAAGAAGATTATTAAGTAGATACTACTAACCTCTGGCAGAAGATTAACAAGTAGTGTCCTGGTTAGAACGGCTGGGACCAATTCATCACTGGATGGGTGTAACACAAAACTGTGTATTCTATAGCCTTCCATGCCATTTCCCAGAAACTGTTGTCAGTAGAGGCCTGCGAGGTGGGAACATGTTCCTGTCCTCATACCCTTTTATGGAATTCCCCGCTCTGATACCCTTTTATGGAATTCCCCTCTCTGAGGGAGGGACTGAGCATCCTCATGCCCTTTTATGGAATTCCCTGCTCTGAGGGAGGGACTGAGCACTCCCGCCTGAACTGAAGAATATATAAACTGGGAGTTTCAGAACTTTTTTACCACTCGTGGGATCCAGAGGTAGACTGCAGACCACCGCTCTCAACCAGACTGAGACCACCACCCTCAACTGGACTGCAATCACCACTTTCTGACCAGACTGCAGCAGCTCTCCCACCAGCAGGGTTTTTTTCCCCTCTCCCTTTACTTTGGACTCGGGGGGGGCCAAGGAACACCACTTTTGTTCATGCCCCAGGGTGCTGGGTTATACATTTGGGTTTTGCGGGTTAAAACCAATTGTCTGTCTGTATAATTGTACTTATTGTATTATTTTAATAAATTGTTATTCTGACTTATAATCTCTCTTTTGAGTTGAGTTCATTTCCCCTGCTGGTTAACTTTTAAACCAGCACAAGTAGAAATTGCAAAATCTAATTTTTTTCCTTTGTGTCCAAAATAGCATCTTCTCTCATATTTGCATAAGCCCTATTATGAAGGCATGGCATTACTTTTTCACACAAGTGAAAAGAGTCAATAATTTCCATAATCAGGGGAGAAAAGAGACTCCAGTAGGCCATAGAAGGTTTAAGTAATACTTTTCACACCAGTGTTTGAGGGGATACTCACTTCAAATAAACTGTGAATTAATGTGGTAGAAACATGAAATACAAATAATGCTTTGTGCTTTCTGGTCTCTCTACAAAGTTTTTTCTCTAAGACCACTGCTGCACTACACTTAGGTCTCTATATTCTTTTACTTTCTGGAAGAACATCACCTTCAGAAGCAATACATGAAGCAAACTTATGTCAGACTGACAGGAATAGAGGTGTCCAAGGAAAAAGAGAGGGTAACATCTGAGGAAATCTTAAGAGAATCAAAAATTAATTTCAAAACAATACTTTTTTTTCTTCAGACTAAGTCTTCCTCAGGTAGCACTACTACAAAACCCTATTACTTACTCTAAATAAGATCCATTTATTCTCTCAACCAGAATGTTATTAGAAGGACAAGAGCATTACTTGCTGATCAACCCCCAAATATTCTAGTAGAGGGGATAATAAGCATTACTTACTGAACGTGACTGCTGTGCTTGGAAAGGAACAAATTGTCCTGGACGTGGCAGATGAGAAGGATGATGTGGAGAGAGGTGAGGAGGATGCAAAAGGAATGGGTCATTTGAAATCAGAGGTGGGAACGTTGCATATGGTACTGGTAGATGTTGGACTGAGCACGCCTGAAGCATCTGAAAGAAAATGAACATTTTTACATCCAGAGTGAAAGGAGATTATTAAAAGAAAGCAGTCTACTTATCCTTAGCTTACAAACACAACCCACACAGTAATTCATTCAGAAACTCAATGAACAGTTCTAGTACAGAACAGAGTCTAAAAGTATAATGCTGCCAGCTACACTTGCAAGGTGCAAAGGGCCTTTTATTTCAGATGAAGTCAATAGGAGTTGGAGGTGTTCACACTGCATTATCAGGCACAGACTCCCAAGGGGGGGGAGCAGGTTTGCTTACCATAGTAGTTGCTGTTCTTCCCAGACATTACATTTACAGGTACATGCCAAGAAAACAATTACTAGTTGTAACTGAAGGACTTATAAATTTCAGATTGTGCCCTAAACAACTCTGTTGCCTGAAGTTGTGCCCCTTTTCTTCTTTCCCCTCTTGCTAGTATCTGCTGTCCCTTTCTCTTCTGTCCTGAGACTTAAGGTGATCTCCTGAAAGAAAATGGTGCCCATCTGCCGCAACTGCAAGGCGGTAACCCAAACAGAAGCACTACAGCCTATCTATGCAGACATCTCCACCCAAATAGAATTCCCAAGGATCAGTATAGCTGTCCAGACCTCAGGCTGCATGGAGCTCCAGTATCTGGAAGTCCCCCTAGTTCCCCTACCTGCTGAAGGCAGTGGTGGATGTCGTAGCTACACAAGTGTGCCCAGCTAGAAGAACTCTTCAGACAAGTAGCTATGTAACAAAAGGAGCTCAACAAACAGCACAGTATCTGGGAATGTGAGCAGGAGATTAATGTGTGGTAATGTGCACTGTGCCAGTCTGAGCAACAGCCTTAAGGTTGTGCAAGGGGAAGGTAAGAGGAGTGACTACAACAGTGGACATGGGCAAGGCTCTATATGTAAATTATCTCAACTTCTGTAAGGCCTTTGACATGGTTCCTCAGAATATCCTTCTCTCTAAATTGGAGAGATAGGGATTTAATGGATGGACTGTTCAGTTGATAAGAAATTGGTTGGATGGTTGCATCCTGAGAGTAGTGGTAAACAGTTCAATGGAGATCAGTGATGAGTGGCATCCCTCAAGGGTCCATATACAAACCAGTACTGTTTAATATCTTTATCACTGACATAGTGGGATTGAGTGCATGCTCAGCAAATTTGCAGATGGCACCAAGCTGAGTGGTGTGGTTGACACGCCTGAGGGATGCGATGCCATTCAGGGACCTGGACAAGATTGAGAAGTGGGCCCATGTGAACCTTATGAGGCCAAGTGCAAAGTCCTGCTCCTGAGCTGGAGAAACCCTTGGTATCAGTACAGGTTGGAGGATGAAGGGATTAAGAGCAGCCCTGCAAAGAAGGACTTGGTGGATGAAAAATTTGATATGAGCTGGCAATGTCCGCTCGCAGCCCAGAAAGCCAACCATATCCTGGGCTTCATACAAAGAAGTGTGGCCAGTAGGTTGACAAAGGTGATTCTCCCCCTCCACTCCACTCTTGTGAGACCCCACCTGGAGTGCTGCGTCCAGGTATGGGGTCGTCAACACAAGAAAGATGTAGACCGGTTAGAGCAGTGTAGAGGCCTGGACAGTAAGGAGTGAATGCATTGCTAAGCCTCAAACACTAATGGCCATTCAAGCAGGCAAGTTAGAACAGGATGTGCCTGGAAAGGGGGGCTGTACAAAGGTAGGGCAGCACTTTTCTGGAGCCAATTTTCCTGTTCTGGTCCATGGTGACCACACAACATAAAGGACAGTGCAAGTGCAGAAGTGGGGTCAAGGAGTATACAAAGCCAATAGAGGGGTGTTGAGACCCTCAAAGCCCCTTGACTCATTTCCAGGAAGGCCCAGAAGAATGGACTGCACATGCTAACTCATTTATATGAAGAGTGAGAAACCTAATCCCAGGGCAGGCAAAACTTACCTATAAAAAGGTACCCTACAAAGCCCGGGTGGTGCTCCCAGGACCCTGGACACCCTGTTGGCTGGATCAACGCTGGACCCAGGACTGGTGACCTTATTTCCTCTCCTATCTGATCTCTCTTTCACTCTATCTCTCTTCCATCTTTTCTTTTATTCTTTTATTCTCATTATTATTAGAAGATAGGGGCAAAACATATACCAATTTCCATGTCGAGTGTGTAGTTTGCCAATAAAACTTTATGAGCTTTTTTTTGGACCCTTTTGGCTTTTGCAGTTTTTTTCGACCATGGGCATCTACAAATCTTGGATAGTCCCTTCCGTATAGGAGTGGGATGTGACAAGTGGGTCCAGACAAGGACCACAAAAATGGTCAGAGGGCTCGAATAACTCTCCTATGAAGACAGGCTAAGAGAACTGGGGTTGTCCAGCCTGGAGAAGAGAAGGTGTCGGGGGGATCAGATTGCAGCTTATATTTCAAGTGGGCTTATAAGAAAGATGGGGACAGACTTTTTAGTAGGGCCTGTCACAATAGGACAAGGGGTAATGGTTTTAGACTAAAAGAAAGTAGATTCAGACTACGTTAAGGAAACTTCCCAGTCTGACCATTCACAAGACTCCCAATGTCAGAGACTTTAACTGCTGGGACCACAGTCCCTTCACAGTGGGCAGCTCCAGTGAGTGTGACTCCCTACACACCCCACTCACGCAGTCAGACCAGGTTTCCTTACCAGCTTGACCCCAGGTTTCCCATAGCAGAGTCTCAGATGTCTCGTTCCATAAAGCAAATCATTCACAGTGCAGTAACAAAGAAACAGCCCAAGCTGGTGCCTCGGAGGAGGGACCCCCAACAAAGGCACCCCTGGGCTTTTATACCCTCACAGTTTATCTGCACACAAGTCTTGCTCTTTGTTCTGTTGTGTCTTCCAGTGTCCATCCACCTGGCTAGCGCCACCAGTCTTCGTGCCCTTTGTTAACCAAAGGGTTGGCAGTTCATGTCCTCTTGTCTCAGGCACCCACCCAGAGCTCAAACTGTAGCTCAATCTGCAGCTTGCAAACCAAGCTACCTGCACCAGATGTATTCCCCAACAGTCCTCCCTTTGTTTTAATTGAGCATTCCTGCTAATATACTCAAAGGAAAAAACCAAACAAACTTTCAAGGAGGGCTTTAAACTAGGTTTGAAGGGGGAAGGGATTGAAACGAGGCTCTCCAGAGAGGAGCCTAAGGGTGGAAAGTCCCAAGTTAAGAGTGAAAGCAGCAGCCCAGCTGAAGTGCATATACACCAACGCACGCAGCATGGGTAACAAACAAGAGGAGCTGGAAGCCATCGTGCAGCAGGAAAGTTATGATGTAGTCACCATCACGGAAACGTGGTGGGATGACTCGCATGACTGTAGTGCTGCCATGAATGGCTACGAGCTCTTCAGCTTAAAGTCAATAACAATAAGGTTGAGTGCCTGTGGATCAGAATCAGGGGGAAGACCAACAAGGCTGATATCCTGGTGGGAGTCTGTTACAGACCACCCAACCGGGATGATGAGGGTCATGAATTATTCCACAAGCAGCTGGCAGATGTCTCAAAATCGCCAGCCCTTGTCCTTGTGGGTGACTTTAACCTGCAGGATGTCTGCTGGGAACTCCACACAGCAGAGAAGAGGCAGTCTAGGAGATTCCTAGAGCATATAGAGGATAATTTCTTGCTCCAGTTGGTAAATGAGCATACCAGGGATGGAGCCCCGCTAGACCTCCTGTTCACAAACAGAGAGGGGCTGGTGGGAGATGTGATGATCGGTGGCCATCTGGGACTCAGTGACCATGAAATAATAGTTTTCAATACTCAGGGATGCAAGGAGGGCCATCAATAAAACCTCTACGCTGGACTTCCAGAGGGCAGATTTTGGCCTATTCAGAAGACTAGTTCAGAGGGTACCCTGGGAAACAACCCTTGAAAACAAAGGGGTCCAGGAGGGATGGACATGCTTCAAGAAGCAAGTCTTGAAAGCACAGGAACAGGCTGTCCCAGTGTGCCGAAAGGCAAGCCGGCGGGGAAGACTGAGGTGTTGAATAAGGCACGAACCCCACTCAGACACGAACGAGTGCCAGAGCAGAATTAACTTTAATAAACAAAGCAGTTGTTTAAGTACAGTGTTCAAATGTGTCACATGATCTTTCAACCAATGACAATCAAGTATTGTTTGAGCATGCGTGAGAACCCGGAAGACTACAACTCCCATGATTCCTTGTTACATTCTTCCTGCCACATCTCCCCCCTCTTTTTATCAACAAGTTGAGAAACAATACATTTTTAACATTCTTATTATAACCAATCTTATTTCAACTATTTATAAAAACCAGGGCCTATAGTCACAGGGCCTTTATTGAACTGTTTACAACTTATTGGTTCGTGCAATATTCAAGCAACCTCAAATTACTCAGGGTTTGAAGATGTGTATAACCTTTTATCTGAGGGTGACTGTGTAATGGCATCATCTTTATTTGAAAGGGAAATGGGTTGTAGATGTTGTGTTTGAGGTAGTGTTGTTTGAGGTAGTGTTTAAGATGTCTTGCTATAAAGTGTACTTGCGTTCACACACACACATACATGTGTCCTCTCAACTTTCTCATTCATACTCTGGTGGCCACCGTTTCATTCTCTCCTCACACATGCATTCTTAAACCCTTTATTATTTTGAATCATGGAGTTTTGGTTTTGTATTGGTTACTGTTTGTGTGTTTCTTTTGGTTCTGTTATATCATTTATTACTTCTTTGTGATTGTTCCTGTTTTGAAGAAGTGTTAATGTAGATTTACACATATAGGGACTAGATCCATATCTCTTTCCCCTCTCTTTTTGTGTTTTTATAGTATGCTTCTCAATGTGCGGTGTGTTCCTTTTACTATTGTTGGTTGTGTTTCTTCAAATCCAATTTCTTTACTCATTTTTTCTAGTGATTGCTTCTGTTGAAGGGGAGGGCTAATATAAGGCCTGATACATTTAGAAGGAATCCTTTGTAATTTAGTACTATTTGATACACAGGCATATATCTCCCCTCAAGTTATGAGATCTACTGGTCTTGATCATTGCTT